GGAGAGGGTCAATGGGGAAAAGAGAGGGGACATCTGCAATACTTTCAACAATAAAGATAAACTTTAAAAAAAACACACACACACACAAAGAAACACAAAGGTGGGCATATACAGGCAACTTACAGGAGTCAAAATATAAAAGGTCTTAATAAAGATTACAGCTAACAGGACATGGTCTTCTCAGCTCTTTAACCTTCCCCTCGAAGACAACCTACAGGCATACTCAGAGATATTGTGGGTTCAGTTCCAGACTACCTCCATAAAGTCAGGATTGCAATAAAGCAAGTCATAATCTCTTTGTGCTGGAGGGTCTTTGACTTCAATTTGTAAAAATCAGCAACATCTGTGAAGTACAATAAAACAAGGTATGTCTGTAACTGACATACCTAACAGAAGAGACTACTTCCAGGTTTAACACAGCTTTTGAAACCAAAAGCTGTGTTTTGAAACCTATGAGTACTTTTGTGGATTATTTTATAGGCTCCTTTAGAAAGACCTCCGAGGCAGGTTATTTTTTAAGATTGATCTGAAAGATATTTCAACCTAACCTGAAAAATAACTGATAAAGGCCTGAACGCCCAGAGGGTAATAAACTTGAAGAGATTAAAACGTCACAAAAGACTTAAGTAAAAGAAATGGGGGAAATCTTGCAGGCTCCTGATGGGATTCTTAGCTCCCGGAAGCTGATTACAGGACCCTTCAAAAGCAACTTTATCATCCAGTGAAGACAGCTGCTGTGTGGGAGAGTTTCTGCAGTGAAATTTCTTTAATAAAAAGAACAAAATCGGTGTCATTACACTTGAAGTTTTAAGGAGAACATGTGTGCAGATTACACGTCCTATAGGAAAACAATGAAGAGAAAGAAAAAATGAGGGGTAATTAAAAAAATAACAGCAATCTAAATTTATAACAACCCTAGGCAAAAGTACCATGCCCTCCAGATCCTAATAAGCCACGTAAAAACATCCACACAGGCCCTAACCGGTTTGGCTCAGTGGATAGAGTTGTCGGCCTGTGGACTGAAGGGTCCCAGGTTCAATTCCAGTCAGGGCACATGCCTGGGTTGTGGGCTTGATCCCCAGTGGGGGGGTGTGCAGGAGGCAGCCGATCGATGATTCTCTCTCATCATTGATGTTTCTCTCTCTCCCTCTCCCTTCCTCTCTGAAATCAATAAAAATATATATACAGTGGGGCCTTGACTTAAGAGTGTCCCGACTAACGAGTTTTTTGAGATACCAGCTGTCTCTCGGCTGATTTTTTGCATTGAGTTGATAGAGTAATTTGAGTTAACGAGCTCCTTAACGAGCTCGGTCTCGGAACGAATTAAACTCGTAAGTCACGGCCCCACTGTATAATATATATATGTATGTGTGTGTATGTATGTATATATGTATATGTGTGTGTATATATATATAATCCCCATAGGACACATGCCATTAACCATGCATTCTTGGTTCAGGCCGATATGGTGGAACTGGTGATAGCTGAGGCTTACCAAATTCCATCTGGAACTTCCCATTAATAGTTAACATTTCATGTGCAGGCATAGTGCTCAGCAGCTGACATACATCAGTGCCTTTAGCACTAAACCAATCCAACCAAATGGGTACTTACATCCCCATTTGACAATGAGGAAACTGAGGCTCAGAGAGGTTAAGCAGCTTCTCTGAAGTTTCACAGCAGTAAGTAGAAGATGGAGAATCTGAAGCCACACTATTCCACTCCAAGGCCCCACTTATGAGTACCGCACTCTCCTGCCTGGCAAAGCAGGATTTGGCCATTTCCAGAATCTGACAGGAAGCTCTAGAACCTGTCTGCTGGCTGTCTCTGGCCTAGGAAGTTTTCTCCATCAGAAAGCTTTTGGTATCTAAGCTGCTGAAAACATTTTTTAAGGCCAAGTACTGTCTCAGAGGCAGTGCTGCACTTCTTAGACACAACTCTCCCAAGCAGACAGACAGATGGACATCTCATATGAAAATGAGCACAAATCTCCATTCTTATCTTTTGGGAGATAAGAATGAACATACTTCCTGGGAGTTCAGTGGAAGAGAATGGTTATTGTGTCTCATAATTTCCCTTTAATGCCCTTACATTTTTTTCAGTTTCTCCAAAGAGGCTTATCTTAGCACTAAACCAATAAAACTATTCATAAAACTATATGATAACAGCTAAAATTGTTATAAGGAAAAGGCTGTGGCTTCTCATGCTGCAATAAATATAATCTTGTCAAATATTTTAATATGTAAAATATGATGTGCACTACTGATACATGAATTCCAGTGAGGAATAGGCTTTGGAAAGCATTCAGAACCTCCCGGCTCCAAAAGTCAGGGAGCTATAGCAGAAAGCAGCCACTCCTTGGGTCTACACACACCACAGAGGCCAAACTCACTTCCCCTGAACTCCCCAGGAAGTACATTCTTCCTTTAGTATGCTCTCTAGGAAAAATTAAGGATGATCTTACTTTCCACCACCTCATATTACAACGGAAACATCTTTTTCAGGAAGCAAGTGGCTCTTTTTTCTTCAATAAAAGTCAAGGCCTCAAAGAGATAATGCAACTGAACCAAAATAGCTACACCACTCTCCCTACTTATAAATATTACAGAAAAAAAAAATTCTCTTGAAAGCTGAGAAATATAATGTTTTTCTGCTGAAAGCAACCTCTTTCTTCAAGCCCATGAGAAAATGAGTGCCAAGGAGCAGAAAGCCATGGGGCCAAGAGTACAGCAGAGCCAGGCTTCCTGCTGGCAGCTCCCCACCTCCTCCCTCCACTGCAGCGGTGTCCCCGGTGATCACCAGGACCAGGCAGGGGCAGCTCGGGGACACACCCAGATCCACAAGTGCCAATTCAGTACCAGAGACATCTGCTCTGTTGCTGCCCCAGGGAAGCCATCACCACTGAGAGAGGCCAACACATAGCAGGAGGCTGAGATGCTAATTAGTACAAAAGCTAAGCCTAATGGCAGATATCTTCCTAAGAGTTTACAAATTTTCATCAACTTTTCAGAGATGTATCAATGGCACCATCCCCCATGTCTGTCCCAGGCACAAACCACGGAGTCACAGTAAATCTGACTCTGCTCTCTCCACGCTTAACAAGCAATCCATTATATTTTCGGGTCTCCTGGACCTCTCCCCTTCATCTTCATTGTCACAAACTAGTGTGGATCTCATAAACTCACAGGCCTAATCCAGCCTTCTTTCTTTCATCCATCAACCATTATGAGCACCTACTGTGTTCCAGGCAATATTATAAAGAAGGCAAATATGAATTTTGCCCAGCTTTAGCCCCTGCAGGCTCCCAGTGGGGAAGAGAAACAGCTAGATTAAAAACAGATTACAATCCTGTGTAACGAAGGTCATGAAACAAGGTATGTCTAGCTCAGTGATGGCAAACCTATGACATGCGTCAGAGGTGACATGCAAACTCATTTTTTTTCGTTGATTTTTCTTTGTTAAATGGCATTTAAATACATAAAATAAATATCAAAAATAAAAGTCTTTGTTTTACTATGGTTGCAAATATCAAAAAATTTCTCTATGTGACACGGCACCAGAGTTAAGTTAGGGTTTTTCAAAATGCTGACACGCCGAGCTCAAAAGGTTCGCCATCACTGGTCTAGCTTCATAGGAGAGAGGGTTAACTAACTATGTCAGCTTGGGACAGACAGAGGCTTTACCTAGGCTGGGACGTCTGAGCTGACTCTTGATAAACAGTAAAAATATTTTGGGCAGGGGTCCTCAAACTTTTTAAACAGATGGCCAGTTCACTGTCCCTCAGACCATTGGAGGGCCGGACTATAGTTTAAAAAAAACTATGAACAAATTCCTATGCACAGAGCGGCGGCAAAAGCACCCGGCGGGCCGGATAAATGTTTTCGGCGGGCCGCATGTGGCCCGCGGGCCATAGTTTGAGGACCCCTGATTTTGGGCGAAGAAGAGTGAAGAGGGAGGAAACAATACTTGTAAAGGTATACCAACCTGAAAGGGTGTGCCCTGGCTCAGGAAGGGCAATGAGGTAGAATGGCTGGGACACCAAATGCACGGAGGGGACGGGACCTAAGGTAGGTTGTGGTCAGACTCAGGAAGGCCCTGCATGTCACGCCAAGGAAGCCACATTCAGCCTGAAGAGTATTTTATTTCACCTTTATAAAGTATTTTTCAAATACTGAAATGAATCGCCAACTTCTGAAAATTGGTAAGTTTCACCTGGATACTTGTTTTCTTAAAAAACAAAACAAACAAAAACACTCTGGCAACACTGAGCAAACTTCTCCAGGTGGTAGCAACTATTTGGATCTGAGTAGTAGGTGGGATACCGTTAAGGAGGTCATGACTACCCCCCCAGACCTTTGAGTTTGTATTCCCTGGTTTAAAGCACAGAGTAACACAGAGAGACCTGTGTTACTGAAAAAATAGCACTGCGAGCAATAGAGACTAGACCACAGGGTCCGTAAACCTGGAGGCAAGTGGGAGAGTTAGGAAGACATCACCGTAGCACAAGCTGGAAACAACAAAAGCCTAAACGAAAGAGAACAGACACACAAGATGGTAATGAGTCGAGAAACGTTTAACATACTCCAGGCACAAGAACACTTGTCATGTAACATTTGTGCGGCATTTGTTCAAGGGCCAAAGCCTATATTAGGAGAAAAGAAGAATAATTTTTTTAAAAAGATTTTCAATTAAAAAATAAAGTGGCTATTAAGTAAACCGTGTGGACAATCCACCCAAATGCCCTCAATCCGCACAGACAACCGCTGAGGCGCAGCAGCAGCAGCCATCTGTGTGATCTTGCCCGGGCCCCCACGCGCGTTTTCCAGGCAAAAGAGAGCACATTCTGACTGCAAACTTTCTAAGGTCTTGACAAGTGATGTTTACAAGCAGAGGGTGGCCTATAAGCCATGACAACCGCTCACACAATGGCCGGCAGTTCCTTGGAAAACTTACACGCCCTTCCAGCCCCTCCAAGGGGAGGGCGGGGCCCCGGCACTCACACAGGCCGTGGACGTCCAGCATGTTGGAGATGCCGCGGTCACTCATGTCCACTTCCGGCTGGTTCTTCTCCCGGCTCTCCTCTACCAACTTTTTCAGGGACTTGGACATGATCTGCACCAAACGACAACAACAAAGCACGTGGGTGAAGGCAGGAGGGTGCGGAAACAGAAAGGAGGGAACTCTGCTTGCCACCCTCGGCTTTCCCCGCGCCCTGCAAAGTGGGCATCCACGGGCCAGGACCAGGTGCAAGCTGGAGGATGGGGCGGGGGCGTGGAAAGGGTCCAGCACCCCTCAAACCGCGCGGAGACAGGCAAAGCCAAGTGCACTGCCACACACACTCACCTCAGCGGGCAGCACCTCACAGGCTGTACGTGGAAACTGCCGGCTCCCGCGGGGCGCGTTTTTCGGGTGAGAGATGCACCCCGCCCGTCCGAGCTGAAGCAACACCCAAACAGAGAACGCTCCCGG